AGCTCCGCTCCCCTGCCAGACATGGCCCAGGGCCCCAGAGGAGAAGGAGGCCCAGGGCTCAGCCTGTCTTCGTCTCGTCTCCCAGGAACCAGACCCAGTTGGCCTTGGGGGGGTGGGGGGGTCCTCCCTGTAGGCCGGGTTTGAGTTCCGCACTGAGCAGAAGCGGGGTCGGCAAGGAAGGGGCCTCCTTCTGCCCTGCTGCCCACCTGTGCCTCGAATTCCCGGGTCCCGCCCGACCCTGGGCCCCGCACAACACCGGGCCCCGTGGCCGCCCTTTTTGTGTTATCCTCAGCTACACCCCGCATGTCGCTGTTGGCAGCCCCATTTCACAGATGAGAAAGCCGAGGGCTCAGAAGCACGAGCCACTGTCCTACTGACCCTGCTGCTCCCTGGCAGGGTCAGGGCTCCGGCCATGGACAGCACACCGCTTCCGACATGGGTACGGGCGAGAGCCTTCCCTGCCGCCATGTCACCACACGGCAGGATCCCTGCCCCCACCCCAGCCGATGGCCGCTGAGCCACCAGCCCCCTGCCTGCAGCTGGAACCTGCCCCCCCCCAGCTGCCCATTGCCCTTTGCCTGCCGTCTCCTGCTCCCCCTCCTGCCCCTGGGCCTTTGCTTATCCCACCACCTGCAGTGTCACGACCAGCAGCTGCACCGCTTCCTGCACCTGCACCTGCACCTGCCCCAGTCAGCTGCTGGTTCCGCCCACATCCACCCCGAGCCTCTGCTTAGGCATGACCCTGACGGCTCACGCAGCACAGAGCGGCCACCACGTGTACGGAGAAGGCCCGGCCCCGGGGTGGCCCCATGCCTCCTGGCCCTGCTGCCTTGGCTGCCAGGCCAGCCTCACTCCCTTGGGGCCCCCAAGGGCTCCTCATCCCTGTTTCCACACAGCAGCCTGCCCCTCCGCGAACGCCTGCCCACCGCCCCACACACTGCCCTGCCCATTCTTCCCAGCCGGGCTGCCCTCCGCTTCCCTGACCGGAGCTGAGGTCCGTGAGAGAGGCAGCCCCTGGAGCCCGGATCTCGGCACAGGTACAGCGGCCCGTGGGCTCCTTGGGGGCACGGGCTCTAGACCTCTGGGGAATACCAAAACCCAAGGATCTCAAGCCCCCGAGGTGCACTGCTTACTACATATACAGAACCTGCGCACGCCTCCCATGCCTTAGACCATCCCTAGATGCCTTAGGATACCTGAGGCCGTGTACGCACTACATAAACAGTCATTACGCTGCGTTGTCTAGGGAATAATGATGGGGGGGACCTCCACCTGTTCAGTACGGACAAAATCTTCTTTGTCAAATATCTTTGATCCGTGGCCAGTTGAAAGCAAGAATGCAGAGCCCACAGACATGGAGTGCTGGCCGTGTCTGCGAAGGAGTGAAGGTGCCCCCATGCCTCCAGCCCTGCCCCTCCACGGGACACCTGTGCGCCTCTCTCCCCTAGGCCTGCTCAGCAGATCCGATCTCGGGTTCAGGCTCTTTTTTTTTTTTTTTTTTTTTTGACAGGCAGAGTTAGACAGTGAGAGAGAGAGAGACAGAGAGAAAGGTCTTCCTTTTTCCGTTGGTTCACCCCGCAAATGGCTGCTACGGCCGGCGTGTGGTGCCAATCCGAAGCCAGGAGCCAGGTGCTTCCTCCTGGTCTCCCATGCAGGTGCAGGGCCCAAGGACTTGGGCCGTCCTCCACTGCCTTCCCGGGCCACAGCAGAGAACTGGACTGGAAGAGGAGCAACCGGGACAGAATCCGGTGCCCCAACCAGGACTAGAACCCGGAGTGCCGGCGCTGCAGGTGGAGGGTTAACCTAGTGAGCCGCAGTGCCGGTCATGGTTGGGGCTATCTTCCAGTCCTGCCCTCCTCCTGGCCAGTGCACCCCTGAGCCACCAAACACCCACGTGCTCAGCCCTCAAGGCACATCTCAAGTCCTCCTCCCAGCGCCCCAGGGCTGCCCCTGCAGGTTGGGAGTGCAGCCCACTGGGCGCCAACCTTGGATAAACGCTGAGTGTGCTGCCCTTGGCCCATTGGGAAGCCAGAGAGGAAACAGACGCGTGTCTATTTGGGAGTGGTTTCCTGAGACCCGAAAGCCCAGACGAGACCTCCCCGCCTGCCCTTTCCCGAACCTTTGGAACCCTGGGTGCCGGCCTCATCCTCCAGGGACGAGGTGCCCACACACAGGCAGCCACAGCCTCAAGCAAGGCGGGGCGGGGTCTGCTGGTCCCCAAGGTCCTGCGCCCCTCCCCTTAGCTCCCGTCAGCCTCAGCCTTGGCAAGGGGATGAATTAGGAGCCAGGAGTTGGCACACACGCACCGAGCAATTAGCGTTTATCGCCCTTGTTTACCTAGCTGAACAACAAGCTCCTTTTCAGGCTGAACAATCAATGCGCAGAGAAGGCCGCCCGGGCCACTCTCGGGAGCTGGCTGCAGGGTTGAGGACGGGGCATGAGCTGGCCTCCTCTGGACGACCCCCCCCCCGCCCCGCCCCGGGAGTCCCTCAGGGCCAAGGCTTACACTTCCCCGCGCTGTCGGCTCTGCCTCCCGGTCCTCAGCTTCCCCGCACTTCAGGGGCCCTGGCGTCCATCTCTCTCTCTTCACTGGGAGGTCAGCCTGGCACAGAGTCCTGCCTCGTGCCCCTGCCCCATCCACCCATGTCCCCTTCAGGGGCTGCAGGACTGAAGCTGAAATGCGCACCCAGCTGGTGGCCTGACGTTCTGTGGTCACACACGCGACGTTCTAGAACAGGGAGGCGTGTGTAGCTAATGCAGACAGAGGAGAGAGCAGTGGCTGGCCTGGTACAGGGTCTATGGGATCTTGGTCCTGCCTGCCTGGGTTGGGGAGGGAAACGCAGAGTCGGTAACCACGGTGAAATGCTGCCCCCTGCTGGTCATCTCCCAGAACTGCAGGAGCCCTGCTGATTCTGTGTCAGGGAAAGATGGGAAACCCAGCCTGGCAGGGGGTCTCCCTCTCCCCTTCCTCAGCCAGCATAGGTTAAAAAGGACCAGAAACTCAAGCTTCATCCCAGGCTGGGCTAATGCCTTCCTTGCTGTCGCTGTCACTTTGTGTTTAATTCCATTGCAATAGTTACATTGGAATCCTTCAGTGGCTGCACACTTGCTATGCAGGTAGTTGGCACACCTGTATGGCAGGGTAGTGTGCAGCTGACTGTGGCAGAGCCAGGATCCATCCCTGGGAAGCCCCCGCACTGCCATCTGCCTGGGGCTGCCCCTGCTTTCCTCCCTCCTCTGCCACCGTCTCATCCCAGACGACTGCTCCCTGCCCCGTACTGGTGTCACATGAGCGAGCGTCACTGGCCCCTCCCAGGTGACGGTCTCAAGCCCCCGATGGTCAGGTCTAAAGGAGGAGGCGGGGAGCGCCGAGAAGAGCTGGGGGCAGAAACGGGGTCTTGTTGCCCCCTACCCTCCCCTTCTGGGAGCGACGCCCCTGCCCCCCTGAACATGTGATCTAGTTCTGCTTCCTCGCACGCGGGGGAGGGCCCCTGACCGCTTCCTGATGGCAGCTCTGCTGCTAAGGAGCGGCGGGGATGATGGGGGCGCCAAGCAGGGAACGGCCCAGCACAGGCAGCACAGGGCCCGCGTCCTCGGGACACTGCCGCCTCTTTGACTCCCCACTAACTTACAACGGGGCCCGCTGTGCCCATGCTTCCGGCCTGGGGAATTTGGCCACAGCCTGGGTTCCCATCCCAGCTACTCCTCTGGAGCTACAGGGCTTAGGGCGGGGTCCAGAGAACTGGAGTCCCTGGTGGCCTGGGTGGGTGGGTCCTCAAGGCCAAGGTAGCTGCAGGGCCCAGCTGTCCCCAGGAGGGGGCGCTCCTCAGAGCACATGGCTTGAGCTATCAGCTCTTAGCAGCAAAGCCAACCCCAGGGACACTGACCCCAGCTCCCGGGAGGGGGGAGGGGGCACCGAGGTGACCAAAGCCCGCCAGTCCCATGGGAGATGGTGCCCCCTTCTCCTGACAGTGCTGAAGGTCCCCCTGGGTGTGCTCCACACCTCCTTCTCCTCTCTCATTCCCACATCCCCCTTCTCTCTTCTGACCCCAAGGAGCCCCCTCCCAGGAAGCCTGGCCCCTGGTTGGGGTCCCACAGCACCCCCACCCAGCAGTCTGAGCCTTCAGGGGTGTCCATGGGACCACTCCCCTGGTGTGGGCTGAATCAGGACAGCGCGGCCACGGGGGTCTGCAGTGTCCCAGCCACACCAGGGGACAGGATGCCATTTTCTTACAGTCTCTCTGCCAAGTCATGCTCCCTCCTGGCTTGCTCACCTCTTCCAGGAAGCCCTCTTGAATGTCCCTTCAGGCCTCCTTCCTCCAGCCTCTAAGCCCCACATGGTGTTGTCCCCAGGAGCCAGCTCAGTGGTGGGCTCCACTGCCCTGGTGTCCTTCCCTGTCTTAGAGCAGGCCCTCGGGTCTGAAAACCCTGCTCAGTCTCTCCTGCAGCCATGCACAGACACCAGAGGGCTCTGGGTTGGGGGCTCCCGGCTTCCTCTGGAGTCAGCCCGCATGGCCTTCAGGGCAGTCGGTGTGTCCCCACGCCCCGCTCCTGGTGCTCACTGACCAAGGCCTATGTCAGAAAATTCCGGCCTCAGCGGCGTAACACCTGCTGCACCAGCATCCCATACTGCAGCATCAGTTCGAATCCCGGCTGCTCCTCTTCTGATCTAGCTCCCAGCTGATGCCCTGGGAAAGCAGTGGAGGATGGCCCAAGGATATGGGCCCCTGCACCCACATGGGAGATCCATTCGGGGAGCGAACCAGAAAGTGGAAGATGTCTCTCTCTTTCTCTGTGTGTGTGTGTGTGTGGTCCTCTGTAATTCTGCCTTTCAAATTAATGAAATAAATCTTTTAAAAAGGGAGAGAGGAAGTTCCAGCCTCCTGTACCCAAGACCGGAGTGGGTGGGGAGCAGTGGGGGACAGGAAGACGACCCCATCTGAGGGGCTGGCAGGTGCCCGAGAACCGCAGCCCGTGGGGACCTCTCGTTCAACACAGCAGCGAGTGAGCAATGTTTATTCAGGGGCGAAGCCCAAGCGGGGGTCTCCTGCCCACCCTGCAAACCGGCCCCTCCACAGTGGCAGAGGAGATGAGCCCACCCTGCTGCCAATGGCATTCATCTCCCGGCCCCTCACGACACAGAGGAGTCAGAGGGAAGAGGCAGCCTGCCTGATGGAGGCAGAGTGTAAGGCACCCTTGCAGGTAGCACCGGCTGTTACCCGCCCGGCCCGTGCACTCCCCATCGCCGGGGAGAACTGCGAATCGCCCACTTGGTGGAATTCTACAGGGAGACAGGGCCTCCTCCAGGCGGCTGGGCGGCAGCTGGCCTGAGCTGGACCACACCGTGTTGAGGGTTTGCTTATGTCCGCAGGTGGAAGAGCGACATCGTGGTGAGATCGCCCTGCAGCCAGGAGATCCTGGCTTCCAGGACCACACACTCACGGGGTGCAGCGACTGGGTGGTCTCCCAGCAGCGGCCCGAGGCTGCAGGATGGGCCCGGCCCAGCCAGGCAGGCTGGACAGTCTTCTGACGCGGCCAGGGCACCGGGAAGGAGGGGGCGAGTCCATAGCGATGGCAGCTGGGCAGCTGTCATGGTGGCCAGGCACCTACTGACCACACTGGGGAGGCAGGGCCTTGGTGACAGATGGCCAACAGGCCACGGACAGCGGGGCACGGGCGGGAGGGGCAGGCTGAGACCTGGGTTCGGGCAGAGAAGCCCCTGGTCCCTCACCCTGCAACAGGTTGGCCATGAGCACAGGAGCAAGGGCAGCCATCAGACACCACCAAGCCGGGGAGGGGCCTGGGTGGAGCACGGCCAGCTCGGGGAGGGGAGCCTGGGAGGCCCGGAGAGGGCTGGCAGGGGGCGGGGCGGGGGTGTGGGCCGGCTCCCTCCCATGCAGATGAGCACAGCAGTTGCCAAGGCAGGCGCGTGGCGGGACCAGCAGGGAGGCAGGAGCGGCGGTGCCTTGTTCCTTCTGCCCGAAGCTCACGGGGCCTCATTGGAGCCCATGCCATTGCCTTTGTTGACGTAGAAGGGCCGGTAGTGAGACTGTGGGGGGAACAGGCGTGGTTAGGGAGGTGGATGAGAGCCACACCCACTGGCCAGCCCCACCCACCCACCCTCAGCTCTCGCAGGGGACAGTGGCGGTGCAAAGCCCAACACTTCCAGGGGCAGGACACGCGCCTACCCCGTGATCAGGGATGGCTCCTGACGTTATCAGAATCCCCAGTTTCAAATCCCAATTAGAGTCATCCCTGCCGACCGGCTGGTGAGTCTGAACTTCAGCCCTGTTTCGGATGAGCCAAACCCTAAGTCAGTGAGGCAGGAAGGCCATCCCATCACGACCACGGCTCCCGCTACACGGCACCTCTGCACTACGGCAGCTCATGGCGGCCTGCCCAGTGCTCTCCAGGCATGCAGGTGGACTCATTTAATGGTTAGGACCATCCAATTCAATGGGTGACTATTATATCGACTTTATAGTTGAGCAGACCAAGGCACAGAGAGGCTGGGCAACTTGCCCAAAGTCACTCAGCGAGGGAATGGAGGGGCTGCCCAGCGTGCAGGTAGACGCACCCACACACGTGCACACATGCACACATACACGTGCACACACACACACAGGCATACCCCGAGTCTTGGTGTCACTTCATGCAACACCAGGGTACCAGCGCCACCTGCTGCCTGCCTAATTCTCCTGACACAGGGCTGCAGAGAGGGCTAAGAGCCCCCTCCTGGCACAGAGCTGCACCCCCCCCAGCCCCTCTGCCCCTTGTGAGCATCCAGGGAGCGTCCCCCGGGGCACGGCCCAGCGGTAGCTCCCCCAGCCTTCTCGTCTCACAGCAGTCTCACAAAATCAGCCTCCCCACCCCCAGCCACTGCAGGCAGGAGGGGAGAGCACATTTTAGCTGCTCCTTGCCCATGCGAGCACTGCTGGCCCCTAGAGGGTCTTGGGAAAGGATCTGTCTCGGGCTGAGCCCACCTCCCACCTTGTGCCTCAATGATCTGAGACAGGGGACCCCACTGCCCCTCCCGGCCCCCACAGCCCCCTGCTCAGCTCCTGCCCTGGGCCCTGTCTGCCTATGCGGGACTCAGGAGGGGCTCAGAGCCCTTAGCCCAGACCTCTGTCAACCCCCCCCCCCCACACACACACACACTAAACACAGGAAGAAACTGAGGCCCACGCAGGGAGGGCAAAGACATAAACCAAGTCACGCAGGTGCACCGTGGCAGGTCCCCAGGGGTCAGCCTGGGCCTCAAGCCCACGTGGCAAGGTGAGTAGACCCGGATGTGGCTGGAGCCCTTCTTTTAGGAATTCCAGGGCAGGGTGGGGGGGTTAGGATGGACTGAGTACAGGTAGACGGCTGTGCGTGTGGAGAGCCGGGAGAGGGGGATGGGCAGGAGCCTGGTCCATGGTGCCCCCTCCCCCAGCCCCTCCCCGGCTCAGAGTCCCAGCACGTGAGAGTTAGAGGACCATGGAATCAGCCATTCATGATGCATGTCACAGAAGGGGAAACTAAGGCACGAAGGAGCCGTGACTGGCACAAGGTAACATAGCAGGTTGGTGAGGGCTGGGCCTTCTCCCAGCACAGGGTGCTGGCTGGACACCACAGCCCCAGCCCCTGAGGGGTCTCAGGGCAGCAATGAGCCCTCTTGCAGGGATGCAGACCCGCGCGAGGAGAGGGAGGGGTGGGACTGAGTCGAGGAACTGAAGGTTCCTTTCTCTCCCCGTATCTGCCTTTTGCAGTCCTGCTGTTGCAATGCCCTTGGGCCCAGCTCCAAATTACACACACCGTCACTTAGCTCCCATGGCCAGCGAATTAAAGATCCTCTCCAATTACACCAGCCCCGCTGCTCTTTACGGCCAAGAGCAAATCGCCTCCCCATGTGCTGACCTCTGCATGCAAAGACAGCAGGAGCCAGGGCTCCAGCCGCAAGGCCAGGACCCTCTCACCAGAGCCCAGGCCGTCCCCTCCTGCAGGAGAGAAGCATTTCAGGAGATGGGGCGCACGTATGAACCACAGTCCCTGACCACGGGGTCTCGGGCAAAGCACAGGGGATCACCTCGTCTCAGCACCCACATTCTAAGGATACAGAGTCCCAGAACTGGTCTGGACAGGATCCGGTAGCCAGCAGGGGGCCTAGCCCCAAGCTACACTCACCCACCACGCTGCTCTTCTGAGACCTTCAAGCCATTAAATAAGGAACCCTAAAGATCCCTTCCGGACTTCCCAGCCTCCCCCGCCCCCCAAGGCTACCCCTCCACTGCCTCTCGGCTGTCAGACTGCAGCACTGCCCCCCATGGTGCCTGTACCCTGGACTGAGCCACTTACTGCCCCAGAGCTGGTGGAGACCACACACCAAGCACAAGCCAAACCAAAAGCCAGGGCTGCCCATGTTACAGATTGGAATGCTGAGGTCCAGTGTGTACTCAGCCAGGCCCTCTGCCATCAGCCCTGGGACTCTGCCACCCTCTGTGTGTGCTGGTGTTCAGGCCGCTGCTGCTCCCTCCTCGGCCACTAGCCCATAGGGGTCATCCTGCTCCCACAAGCCCTGGAGACGCGAAGCCCAGCTGCCCCGGGGATGGCCCCTCTGGGGCTGGGGTCTCTGGACATGCCGTGCCCTGGCGGCTCCTCTGGTGGCGTCTTACTTACCAGCAGGGTCTGCTTGCCAGATCTCCAAGTCTGGGGCTGGGCCTTGGGGACTTGACTGCGTACGAGCGAGGGATAGCCTGGAAGACAAGAGGCTCCCGTCAGAGGGGGCATGGGCTGGTGGTCAGGGGCCCCAGGGCTCCAGCTATGCAGCCGCCTTCTCCAAAGGGACCCCAAGCGTCCCCCCCAGCCCATGACCCAGTGCAGCCACCTGGAGAGGCGGGCAGCGGAAACCCCCGGGAAGAGGCTGATAGAGGGAGAAGGCAGCAAGGCGGACGGCAGGAGGAGGAGCCGGCCAGGTGCATGGCGCCAGACAGAAGGGGAGCGCCACCCCCAAAGCCAACGCCCTGCCCCCCACAGGAGACTTGCACCCACCCGGAGACCTGCACAGCTGCTTTACAAGCTCCCCCTGCCCGGATCCCAGTGCTGGGTGCACAGTGCTTCCTGCTGACCGAGCACTGTGCTGGGGGTTTTGCTACTCGGGTAGCTGCCCCTGCCCCCTCATCTCTGTGGGCTCAGGAGTTTGCCCGAGATGCAGAGCTTGTAAGCAGCAATCAGCATTCAGAATCAGGTTTTACTGGATGCTGTAGATTCCTGCTCCTTCTACCCAGCTCTGCTATCTCTCCCACTCTCCCGGCAGGAGAAAGAGGCCCAGAGAGAGGCAAGGATGGGCCAGGGCAGCTGCAGCCCTGGTTAGAGCGGTGCTCTCTGGGAGTGGCCGGAAGATGCCGGCCCAGGCTGGGGCGGCCCAGCCCCTTCTCCTCCGTGCGGGCACATCTGCGAGGAGCTCTGGCGTGCAGACCAGAGTCTGCCATCAGCCGGCAGGGACAGGCCGAGGTGCCTGGGAAGACACAGGCAGGGACCTGGGCATCGAGCAACTCAAGAGTTAAACATGGGCTGTCCTGGGCAGGCCGCTTGTCCAGTGAGGCTATGTCCTGCCACTGGGGAGCCCCGTCCTGCCCTCCTGCAAGCCAAGGTGAGCAGGCCCAGGGACCACCTGCCGCCGTGCCAGGCTGCCAGCCTGGCCGGCCCTTCCCAGGTTGGTACTGAGAAAGGAGGCAGAAGGGAACCTGGGGCTCCCCCTCATCTCAGTGCAAGGGCATCCCTGGAAAGAGGCTTGCAGGGGTCCTGAGTGGAGCCTGAGAGAGCAGAACACAGACCCCAGCTCTCAGGTCCAGAACTAAAACCCTGTGCCAGCCATGAGAGAGGGGAGGGCGGGTGCGGTGGGGAGGGTGGCCCAGCCGTGTGCAGCAGGCAGAAGTGCAGACAGAGGGAGCTGGGTGTGGCAGGTGGGGGTGTGCGTCCCTCTTCCAGGGAGCTCTGAAGAGGGCCACCAGGACACCTAGGAGTGGCAGAGAGCTTCCCCACGCCAGATGTGCCACCTGCCCCGCTGTGGGAGAGCAAAGGGGATGGACGGAAAGGGGGCAGGTACCGGGATCGTTCTTAAACAGCCCACTGCCATCCAGTGGTTTGGAAAGCTGTGCAGTGGCCTGTCTCAGGGTGGTGAACTGATAGGGGCTTTTCCCAGTGCCTGCTGGGAGAGAGAGAGGCATTAGCTGCACGGCTGGCCCAGGAGGGGCCGGGGGGACCCTCCCCTCACTCTGGGGCACTGTCGCTCTCCATTCTGCAGCCTTGGCTCTGCCCCTGGAGCTGGCCCGGCAGCCCTCAGCACATGCAGGGGGCGGGTGGGGTCTGTCCTCGCAGGCAAGGGGCTCTCCTTGCACCCAGGCCAGCCCCTCCCCAGAACCCCCTACTCAGGGGCTTTGCCAGTCAGCCTGGTGAGCTCAAGGTGAGAATGGGTGCTCCTGGCTTTTTCTCCAAGGCCAAGTGCATCTGAGAAAAGACTCTCCTTAGACAGGGGCACCTGCACAGACACTGGTGACCTGGATGCCTCAGATCCCACCTGAGTGTGGCCGTGTTCCCTGCCTGGTGCCTCCCTAGGCCCAGGCTTTCCCAGAGAGCAGGGGGAGGGCACACCTGCTGAAAGCCGCACCAGCCAGGGCACATCCAGAGCTGCCGAGGCTCAGCTCGGGGCTGGAACCCTCCCCCACCCTGTTTGCTTCTTCACCTTCCTGGTGGCACCAAGCTCCTGCCTAGCCTGGGATCCCAGCACGGGAGGCACAGCTAAGGGAAGAAGCCACCTTAGGGGGCACTGCTGGGGCTGGGGCTGGGAGCGGCTGTCTGCCCCTTTCCCTTCCCTCCCCACACCCCACCCAGCTTGCCGATCCTCACCTCCAGCCAGACACCTTGAGTGCAGAAAGGGAGGCGGGGTTCCTCTCCCCAAGGCCCACCAAGGCTATCCCCTAGGGCCTCCAGGGGGAGACAGGAGAGCCCTGGGCCTCACTGTAGGCTGCAGTCAGAGCCAAGCCAGCCCCTCAAGATGATCCCAGCTCCAGAGTTCTAGGGAGCACAGTAGAGCAGGTGGGGTCCGGACAGTTAGAGGGAAAGAGGACTGGGCATGGGAGGCCCTCAAGGTCATCTGGCCCCGCCTTCCCCGAAGGAGGGCAGGGCTTTGGCAGGATGTTGAAGGGCACTGTGTGGCCACCAGGCTGGGGAAACACAGTGGAAGAAATCATGCAGGGGCCAGCGCTGTGGCTTAGCAGGTAAAGCTGCCACCTGCAGTGCATCCCATATGGGCACCGGTTTGAGTCCCGGCTGCTCCTCTTCTGATCCAGCTCTCCGCTATGGCCTGGGAAAGCAATAGAAGATGGCCCAAGTCCTTGGGGCCTTGCACCTAAGTGGGAGACCCGGAGGAAGCTCCTGGCTGCTGACTTTAGTCTCTCCCAGCTCTAGCCATTGTGGCCATTTGAGGAGTGAAACAGTAGATGGAAGATCTCTCTCTCTCTCTCTCTTTCTCTCTCTCTCTCTGCCTCTTCCATTCCCTCTCTGTAACTCTGACTTATAAATAAATAAAGCTTTTTTTTAAAATCAGATAGAAACCCTGTAGTAGAAGGAATGGGGGTGGGAGCTGAGAGTCTGGTGGCCCCCGCCTGACCACTGAGCCCTGGTGGGGTAGCACATCACAGTGTGAGATGGAATGGCCCCGGGGGGCACAGACGGGGCCCAGCTGCCCGCCCCCGCCCTCCTTTATGGCAGAGATCGTGGCTCCCGGGCCGGGACTGGCTCCTCTCCACGGTGACGGACCGCAGAGCAGGTGGACAGCGTGGTAGCGGTGGCAGCAGAGCGAAAGCCGGAGGCAGCGGGGCTCACCTTTCAGGGAGAAAGAGGAGCTGCCCTGGACTGCGGGCAGGTCGTCGGAGCTCTGGACCGAGGACGAGTACTCCCAGACCCGGGAGGTGTAGTTACCTGAGGGAAGGAAAGGGCATCAGGGGTGGGCAGCCAGGCGTGGACGAGGGAGGGTGGCCGCTTCAGTGGCTGTCTCAGCCAGCAGGGCCCTGAGCCCGTTATGCCTGCCGGTGCCTTCCTGCTATCATAGTTCTCTTCTAAACACAAAGTGTGGCCGTGTCCTGGTCCCACCTAAAGGCCACTGTCCTCAGAATAGGGGTAGGGGCTGGTGCTGTGGCATAGTGGGTAAAGCCACCATCTGCAGTGCCGGCATCCCATATGGACGCCAGTTCGAGTCCTGGCTGCTCCACTTCTTTCACTTCTTTTTTTTTTTTAAGATTTATTTTATTTGTTTGAAAGACAGAGTTACAGAGAGAGGTAGAGCCAGAGAGAGAGGTCTTCCATCCACTGGTTCACTCCCCAGAGAGCTGGATCAGAAGAGGAGCAGCCAGGACTAGAACCAGCAACCATATGGGATGCTGGCACTTCAGGCCAGGGCATTAACCCGCTGTGCCACAGTGCCAGCCCCTGCTCCACTTCTGATCCGACTCTCTGCTATGGCCTGGGAAAGCAGTAGAAGATGGCCCAAGTCCTTGGGCCCCTGCACCCACGTAGGAGACCCGGAAGAAGCTCCTGGCTCCTGGCTTCAGATCGGCGCAGCTCTGGCCGTTGCAGCCAACTGGGGAATGAACCAGTAGACAGGAAACCTCTCTCTCTGTGTGTCTCTCCTCTCTCTGTGTAACCCTGACTTTCAAATAAAACAAATAAATCTTTTTTAAAAAAAATAATAGGTACAAAACCCTAAGGCATCCCTGACCTCAACACCTGCCCATCAGCACCCCCAAATAGGTTAGCTGGCAGGTGCTCACACACAGGTCCTCTTGTCCCAGGCCAAGGCCTCTGCCACCTGTTCCTGACCCTTTGTGAATTCACACGGTGGGTCTTCCCTTAACGGCAGCACCCCCCATCACCCTGCACCCCCTCTCCCTGGGCTGCCATTACATATTCAGTTGTCTGTCCCTGCCACGGGCCCGTCTGGCCCAGCCTCTCACCCAGGGGCCGGCTTAGAGCCTGGCTCCTAGAAGCTTTCGTTGTGTGTGTGACAGATAAATGCAAGCATCCCGAAGCTTGGGGGCGGGTGCAGAAGCCAAAGCTCCCAAAATCTGGTCTGCCACATGAAAATATGTCCCTGGAGTCTCAAGGAGATGGAGGCAATGGTGAAGGGGGGTGGGACAGCAGGAGCACCAAAGGGCGTTGGGGGTGGGGGGATCAGAGACCCCCATCCCACCCCAGGAAGAGCCCTTCTCCGACCCCCAGCAGGCTAGAGTCAAGTTCACTCCACAGCAGGCAGCATCTGCCAGTCCCACAGCTGCCTACGGGGAGGACAGAGTGACCTGTAGGCCCCCTCCCACAGGGTCCCAGGTCCTACTGCAAGGCCCTTCATAAGCAGATCCACTCAAGACCCCCGAGGCTGGAGTCCTGCCCTTTCACTCCCTCCTCCTTCCTCTCTCTCTCTCTCTCTCTCCCTCTCTCTCTCTCTTTTCCCCACCCCCCCCCCCACCATTGCCTGAGCCCCGCTCCTGGGAGCGCTGGGGCTGTGGCTGTGAGCAGACAGACCCAGGGCCCACCTAGCACAAGGCCTTGCCCTGCACACAGTGGGCAAAGGGTGGCCCTGGGGAAGCCATGTCCCCACTCCCATTTCACCTCTTCAGGGTCCCAGGGTGTCACCCGCCCATCTCACATGGCAACAACGCCACCTGGGTTCCAGGGACACCACCCTTCCCTGTCGTGCCCTCTGTCCCAAGCACGGCTCACCCATTTCATTTCAGCCACTGAAGGCAGAAGTTAACCCAGCAGTGGTCCTCTGCGGGTCCCCGCACCCTGATCCTTGCTGGGGAAGGGGTGGCCACTCACCCCCACACTCCCCCGACCCATCCCTCAGGGATAAGGAGCAGAACAGGGAAACAGAATGGAGTAACCCAAGAAAACAAAAAATGGGTCTGCCCTACAACCCGGCCATCCCACTCCTGGGGATATGTCCAAGGGAAGTAGAATCAGCATATGAGAGAGGCACCGGCACACCCATGTTACTGCACAATGCAAAGATACAGAATCAACCTGGACAGCCAGCAGCTGACGATTAAATGAAGAAAATGGAAAACGTGTGTGTGTGTGTGCGTGTGTGTGTGTGATGGAATATTACTCGGCCATGAACAAGAATGAAATCCTGACATTTTAACAGTCGATGGACCCGGAGGTCATTATGTTAAGTGAAATAACCCGGAGTATAAGACTTGTGTGGGAGTGGCATTGTTCAGCACACAGTTATAAACGTTGCTCCACTGAACCATACCACACAGGGGCCAGTGTGCCCTACTTTCCCACGGGTGATCATCACTTTGAGACGCTAGTTTCCTGGTTTTCAAGACAAATAGCATACATGTATACGTACCTAATGGCTACTTAAGAAGTGAATGTGGCGAAATGTTAAAAATTGTTAAATCTTAAAACTAAAAAAATTATTTAAAAAGAAGCACACATGGATCGGGGGTTTCTGGTGATGCCAAGGCTCCCCCGGCTGGTCTTCCTCCAGCCTAAGGAATGATGTCACAACAGACACACGCACACGCACACCCGTGCATACGCACATGCACACGCACGCACACACATGCACACTTTAGGCTCAGCAGGACCCCTCCCCACTCCGGCTCCTCACATTCATTGCACACTGGGGGTTCAGCGCCCTGCCCCATGGACCCCCCACCACGCCCACCACCCCGAGCCTCTTGTTGGCCTTGCGCAGCCTTGCGCTGAGCGCCCCGCTACCTTTGGTGCCGTACAGATTGCTGAAATTCTTCTGGTTGGTCTCCTTGGAGAGGCGGCTCGGAGACCCCGGCTGGTAGGAAGTGCGGGCCCCACCTGCAGGCAGATGGGGGAGGGCAGTCACCGCAGGCACGTGGGTCTTGCTCAGTGCAGGGACCCACAGCCTCCGCGTGAGGGACTCCAGACGGTCCCCAGCTGCGGTCACAGGACTTGGAGTCCTGCCCAGAGGCTACCACTCTTCATCCCAATCGGGATGCTGGGAGCAGGCACGGCTCTGCGGACAACCCTGCCGAGAGCTCAGGGCCCACCAGCGTGGTCCTGAACAGATGGAGACCATGGCAGCCGGCGCCTGTGCAAGTGGGACCCCAGAAACTGGGCAGCGGGGAGCTGGGGAGGAAGGAGAGGCCACGGCGAGGCGGGCACAGAGGCCTTGGCCTTGACCGAGTGTGGTGGAGCCACCTGGAGGCTGCGTGATGAGCCGGCAGCGAGCATCTCCCGGGTGCCGGGGCAGGGCTGAGGCTGAGGCTGAGCCCAGGGGCCAGGGCTGCCCTGCACAAGAGCCCGCTGTGGGGCTCTCAACAGCCTTGTGAGGAAGGCAGAGCGGGCCTGATGCACTTGTCTAGGGCCTTCTGCAGGCTGTCTCTTCCCACCACCACCTAACCCTCAGACCGCATGGCTCCCCTGAACCCAGCGCTCCACCCAGCCCCTGCTGCCCCTTCCTCCAACCCTGCATGCCCGCGGCTCCTCTCCCCAGCATGCTGTGCCCACCACAGCCATGCCTTGTGCACAGGGCACATAGCCCCTCCTCCAGCAAACCTGCACACAACCTCTCTCCTGGCGAGGGCCAGAGCCACTGCCCCGCCAGGCCCAGACTCGGGGCCTGGGGGCCTTCGGTGGCCTTGCTCCCCTCATCTCCTTGATGAATCGCATTAGCCCTGCCTTTGCCCCTGCCCTGAGCCAGGGAGCCCCAGAGGCAGACGTCCCCGCCCATCCCAGCCCCTCCTGTCCCAGAACAGGGTTCTGCCCACACAGCCTGGGCTTAGATTCTGGGGGAACCGGTTCCTTCCACCTGCAAATGTCACAGGGCAGCAGAGCAGGGAGGGCTGACAGTCTCGGAGCCCAAGAGGGAAACTGAGCCAGAGCGGGCAGCAACCAGCTGGCCCCAGGTCACCTGGGCTCCAGACTCCCGGGATGTCACCTGGACATGGGTAGTGCTTGTCCCTCCACCCTGTCCTTGCGACCTACAGGGAGGAAGCAGGAGGCAGCCAGGGCCGCATTAGGGCTGGTCCAGAGAGCAGGGCCGAGCAGGGCTGGGCACAGCCGCTCAGTGTCTCCTAGAACCCGTCCAAAGGCCTGGGCAGGGAAGGGGCGGGACTAGCGGCTGGGCCCACACCAGGAATGCCGGGGGAGGGGAGCCGAGGCCTCCAGCAGCCGCCCTGGGCCTCCAGAGAGGCCAGGTGTTGTTTTCAGGTTGGGTGGGGCAGTAGAGGTTCTTCTCCGTTGAGCTCACCTGGCAAATCCCCCACGCCGCTCCCTTGCGTGAGTGCCTGACGTGGGAATTACAGCCTGGAGCCCCGAGGCGTCCCCTCCCCACCCGTGGTGCCTCCCCGCGTCTCCTTCCTCCTGTTCCCCCACAGCCCTACTCCCCTCCTGGCCCCAGCACATGCACACACCCCTCCATCCCGGCACACCCGCCCTCTGTAACAGACATGGCTGCGGTTTGTGGCCGGTGCCCAAGAGCGGCCAGGCTGCCCCAGGGCAGGGACAGGCAGGCCCTGGTCTGGGCTGCACCAGGCACTGGGCCACAAGGTTGCGAGGACCCTAGGACAGGAGCCACCTCTTCCCACCCTTTGAGGCATGGATGGGTCTGGAAGAGGCGCCCAGCCACGGGGCTCGAGGCCTGCACACAGTTCAGCAGACACCAACAGAGCTTGGACCTGGTGTAGCCCAGCCTGTGAGACCCCTCCGGAAGGAAGGAGGAGCAAGGGCATGGGCTGGACGGTGGCCGCGGAGGGACTGTCTGTGTCAGACAGTCTGTGTCCATTTTCACCTCCTGTGCTTTTGGCCTAGCTCCAAGGAGGAATGGGGTAGTGGGTTATTTGTCATCTAAACAGGACACTTGTCACCATAACCACACAGGGACAGCAGGCAGAGGCCGGGACTTGGCCAGACCCCTGGAAGTGCAGCCACACACACACACCCCACAGAAGGAGGTCGGCCGAGGGCTGCCGCACGGACTTGGGGGCCCCTGGGGAGCAGGAGGGGCTGCAGCGTGGCACGGGGGGCTCCTCTTACCCTTGGGCGTGAGGTACATGGAGTACCTCTTCATGGTGTCAGGCGTACTCCACTCGCTCGTGTAGCTGTTTGTGTAGTTGTTCATGTAACGATGGTCCCCGCCTGGGAAGGAGAGAGGCTGGCTCAGCACGGGGGCAGGGGGGGAGGACGAGCTGGCCCCGGGGACATCCTGGGGCTCGGCTGGGTCAGCCCCCAGCCCCCTCTGCACCCCTAGGGGAACCCACGGTGACTGTGCCACTCTGCCAGGCATCCACTCTCCTCTTGAGCTCCCGGTGGGGGCAGGGGCAGGGTCTGCACTGAGCCACCCCTCCCCCACCCCGGGTGCACAGCACTTTGCAGCTCCCAGCTGCTGGCCATATCTGTTTCTTATTTCATCTGTGCATCCACTCCGGGCAGGTATGAACATCTCTGCATGAGGCTCAGGGGGCGAGGGAAGCAGCTTGCCCAGTGTCATGTGCTAACCACCCCAACCCTGCTTCCTGGCTCAGTCCCAGCATCCAGACAGCTGAGTGAAGGCTTCAAGGGGTCACCCACCTGCCGATCCCCAAACCAGGGCAAACCTGCGTCTCGACGTTCGACTCTCCCCCTCCACTCTTCACTCACTACTTCCCCATCTACTTTCTCCACGCTGCCCTCTCTTCTGTGCGAGAGGAGGAAGGAGCGGCTCAGCCCTCGGCCTCCATTCCCACCTCCTGGGCTCACAGCGGGCACTCCCACAAAACACAGGCCCCCCTAGATGCTGGCCCAGCCCCCTGCCCTATTGAGCCCAGGATGAAGGTGGCCCGGTTCTTCTTAGCCTCTGGGCCAGTGAGGGTGGGACTGAGTCTGTGGGTTGGTGGGCAGGCAGGCATCAGGGGAGTGGGTGCCCACGCCCAGATGTGAGTCACAGGCCACCTTTCCCCTGCCTCCTACAGCTAGCACCCTCCCAACAACAGTGCAGCAGTCACAGGGAAAAAAAAAAAAAAAAACACAGAGCCAGAAGAGCCTCCCCAGCCACCCCAGGCGCAGGTGCAGGGCCACTGAGTCAGCAGCACCTATCCCTGCCCCTGGCTCCTGTCTCTTTGCACATCTCCCACAGGACGCAAGATCGCACCTGCACAGAGGTCATGGCCAGCACCGTGGGGACCTGGAAATGGGACAGGCAGCAGCTGGGGAGCTGGAGAAATCCTGCCCTAGCCGGATTCCGCCTGCTAGGTCTGCATCTTCCCAGGTCTGGCCAGACCACAGCTACAGGGCTCCCCCGCCGGGTCTGCGCCCCAGGACCTGTGATCATCGCACCCCTAAGTGCCCCTGGCGGGGGGGCAGTGCCACCAGCCACAGCACAGCAGCTTCCCGGCTGAGAAGGCACGGACGACTGGAGAGCAGAGGGTGAGCCCGCTGCTGCCCGCTGTCTAGCTGCCCGCCCCCAGAAAAGATGCAAAGATACTTCTCCCAGCCTCAGCCTTCTCATCTGTAAAATGCGATGCACCCCGCAGGGAAAATAAGGCCGTGTAAGTGAAGAGCTTAGCACGGCGCCCAGCATGCAAGGAGCAGTCCATCACTGTCAGCCTGTCACTGTCACCATTAAGATCATCGCTATTGTCATTAGGAGGAGGATTCCAGCATCTGAGTGCTATCGGGAGCCAAATGATTGTCTTGCCGAAATGGCTTCTGTGTCCCCAGGTGTGATGGAATGTGCCCTTCATTTCAAGGGACGCTGTGTGATAGCACCATCACTCAGATACAGGAGTGCTTCAGAAAGTCCCTGGGGAAATGGGATGAAAAGACCAGGAGCAGGGGCTGGCATCGTGGCGTAGTGGGTGAAGCCACCGCCTTCGACACTGGCATCCCCTACGGGCAGCGGTTCGGGTTCCGGCTGCTCCACTTCCAATTTAGCTCCCTGCTGATGGCCTGGGAAAGCACTGGAGGATGGCCCAAGTGCTTTGGCCTCTGCACTCACATGGGAAACCCAGAAGTAAATTCTGCTTTTCAAACAAATAAATCTTTGAAAAAAAAAATAAATAAAAGACCAGGAGCCTTTTCCATGGGCCTTTTGAAGACCCTTCTTTCTGCACATCTCCACCCACCTCTTGTCCCCAATCCCTGGAGACCAGACGGGCGTCATTCACTTTGGGGTGCCCATGGCTTGGAAGTCATTACCTGGGCTGCCCTGTCAGACCCTGTGCTGGGCCAGGGCCACAGGGTGGGGCCTTGGGACAAGTACCCAGGCTGGAGGCCCTCCAGGGACAGGGCAGAAAAAGACTTTATGGTTACTTTCTTGGGTTCAGAGGCTTTCTGTGGGCTAACACAGCTGGCCTCTGCGGGAACTGCATGACTCAGGAGAGAAGCTGACCTAAAGGGAGCTGCTGAGCCACAGACATGCTGCGTCCCACCGTCCCCAGCCCAGTCCAGCCTCTGAATGCAACACGGCTCAGCACGGCCATAGGGACAGGCAAGCTCTTCCTGCGAGGTCATGGCGAGTGGACTCCGGCTGAGACAAGTGGCAGCGTCCCCTAATCAGACATGGATTTGAATCCTGCCCCTCCCTGAGTGTGAGGGACGATGCCCAGGGAGAAGGCGTTTGCGCAGCCAGCACCCTGCGTGCTCTCCGCTGCAGAGGCCCCTGGAAGCAGCGGCATAACCATGGCAAAAACTCAGTGTACAGCTGGGGCCCCTGAATCCTCGTCCAAACACCCTGGGGCGGAGTGCTGTCCAGTGAGGGGCCTTGCAGGCACCGGGAAATGACCTTGGCCTTGGGGCCCGTCCGCAGAGGGGACCCACCGTTCTCCATGTGGTTCCTCTCGATGAAGTTACGGCTTAGGTCCGCCTTGCACATCTTCTCGACGTGGCGCATGCACACATTGAGCAGGTCGTCCTTGAAGTTGCCGAGTGACTGTCCCAGGCCCTCCCCCTCCAGCAGGACGTGGTAGGTGGGCAGGGGCGGGGGCAGAGAATAATTGCTCATCAAGGCGCCAAATTCCTAGCGAGAAAGGGAAGAAGCCATTAACTTCCCGGCTCTTGGTGAGCTCTGTAAGAGAGACTTGGTGCTGAGAGCCGGAGGGGCTGGGTTCCAGACTGGCTCTGCTCTCTGCCAGGCCCCTGGTCCCTCCCTGATGGCACTAGCATTCTAGAATGTGACTCCGTGGTCCCCACTTCCACACTGGGTGCGGCATGCCTGCCTCCGAGGACTTGCTGAGAGTGACGCAAGTGGGGAGAGCCTTAAGAAATACAAAGAGCTACTAGAATGTTCCAGCTCAGCCACGGGTGTGCTCTGCTCTGCATGCCAGGCTCGGTCCTGCCTCTACACCTCTGAACCTCTCACTTCCTTCCCCCTCACTGGAGAATCCCCCCTCCTTCTCAAATCCTAAATGGCCTTCGAGACCCAATCCAAACTCCACCTCCTCCACAAAGCCACCTGCTTGCCTTTCTCTGAGCTTCCCGGGCACTTATCGCCCGAGCCATATGCTTTATCATTTAATTACACCCCTTCCCATATTGTTCTTTAATTGTCCAGGTCTTATCTTCGCAGCGGAATTGCAGCTGCTTAGGGCAGAAACCATGTCTTACACTCTCTATTCACACTGCACCTAATGGAATACTGGACACCCAGGAGTAGCCAATACATCTTAGCCGGTGGAAGGATGGGTGGATGAATAGACAAACAGGCCAGATCAGAGATAACAGGCACCACTCAAACACGGCTCTCCCCGTAATCAAAGCAGGTATTGCTAATCGATCACAGAACTCTTTCCTACTGAGCCTGGAACACTTACTACATATCAATTGAGATTGGTACAGGTGACATTTGTATGCCATCTTCAGAGTGGCTAGGAGACTGGGTTGGATGGAACATGTGAAATGGACCATTAGAATGGAGCTCGGATGGATGGATGGATGGATGCGTGGATGGGTGGATGATGGGTCAGGGTTGGAGAAAGGGACAGACGGGAGTGCAGAGGGCCGAGTGGTGGGGAAGGCGCTGTCACCTGCAGAAACAGCACTGAGTCGCTGATGCTGTGCAGCTGCTCCCGGATCTGCTTGTCCTCGTGCAGCACTTTGGCCCTCTCGTCGAGCGCGTCCACGATCACTTTCACTTGGTCTACAGCGTCCTGCTCCCGCTGCTCCAGGGCGGCCCTCACTTCCTCCTTCTGCTTCTCCAGGTCCCGCACCAGCTCCCGGAAGTTCTGCTCCAGGATGGCCTTCTCGTTGGTGGTAAAGCTCTGGGTCCACAGACAGGGGAGGGGGAAGAGGGCTTCAGTCGGGAGGAAAAACTCCCCAGTGGTGCACCTCACTCGACTCCCAGCGTGGGATCTGGCCCCCATAGCCGGAGATGACCAGGAAATTCTACAGTCTCCCTTCCTTATCCCTGGGGGTTACTTCTCCCGGTGGGCGGACGCAAGCCATCATGCTATACTTGAGTGACTTCCGGATGGCCCAGACGTGAGTCAGGGAGTCCTCACCGGAACCCCAACAGAACTAAAAACCGTTCAGAAAGTGAGCCGACTGGCTGCCCATGGGGCCAGGGCCGAGTGGATGGATGGTCTCAGGGTGTGGTCTGTAAGCTCTCAAGCCGTGGCAGACGCACATAGCCACCCTGGCACAGGGAGAGGAGACAGGGCCTGCGCCTGGGAGCTGGGCAGTCGGGTGGGCAGAGCAGACAATGGATGGCACAGTGGAAGATGCGGATGCTGTAAAATGAGTTCTCAGGTGGCAGGGGCGATCCCACCTGTGCCAGAGGGATACAGAGAAGAATGGATGGGAAAAGCCAGTGTGGGATGCCGGGGCCCAGGCCTGCAGGGCCGGCGGGCTGGGGGCGCTCACCTTGATGCGGTCTTTCTCCTTCTGCCACTTCTCAGCTTCATCCTCGATCTCAATGATCTTCAGTTGCAGCTGCTCCTTCTGCAGCGACAGCTCCGTCTGCAGGGCAACAGCCAGGGGCGGGGACGTCAGGAGAGGGGCGCTCAGGCAGGCTGCAGCGCCCACCCACTCAGCCTTCACTTGGCAGCTGTTCACCGGGGCCTTGGACACGGCAGGCAGGGTGCCAGTAACCAAGGATCCAGCCACTGGTCAAACGCCATCTCGATGTGTTCTCGGGCCCCTGGGGCGGGACCTCCTAGCCTTGACCTTACGAGGGCTCCCTGGCCCCTCCACCCAACGTGAGCAGGAGAGAAGCTCATGGATGGAGTTCTTGCTCCTTTCCATAATGGACCCGGGCCATTGGAGAGACAGAGAAAGGAGACCCAGCCCAGTCCAGTCTAGCCCAGGGAGTGTCTCGTGGCAATAACAGTGTGCAACATGTCTGTCGCATGACGTGGGGCCCGTGTTGCAAGCAGGAGCTGAGTTGCCGGCGGCATGGACTCCGTCTGGGCAGGCACAGCCATAAACTTGTTTATGGGAAAGGGAGCATGTTCTGCAGTCTGGGTAGACAGGGACTTGCACCCAGGGTCTCTGGGGAAGGAGAAGCTCTGGGAGCCCTGGGCTGTTGGTGGGCTGACAAGGGGGTCAGTCGGGAGTGTGTTGGGATATTGGGCCTCCTGGCCAACCTTGCCTTCCATGCTGGCCCAGGCTCTTCTCTGAAAAGCAGCTACAATGGCGGCAAAAGGGGCCATGGGAAGTTAAACCCGGTGTCATTTGGCCAGGCTACGATGCATCTCTTCTGTTCTGCTGGGCTCCTCTCCAAGGCTCTCAAAGCCCCCTCAGCATGAAGACAGGTGGGAGAGCCCCACTTGACAGTCTTGGCACCGGGACTGGCATACTCTGCCCACCCCCGCTGGGCTGTAAACGCAGAGTTCCACCCCTTCCTCCATCCGTCCCCTTGGGGCACCCTCAAGGACAGTCAAGGTGAGGGAGCCACAGGCCACTAGGAATGTGAGCGCCATGGAGAGACGCGTGAGCAGCAGGGCAGAGAGCTCCCCACTCAGCTCCTTGTGCGCATCCTGCCAGCCCAGGGGGCGCTGGGGCTCCTGCCACAGGCACCCAGGGAAACGAGCCAATGGTAGGGAGCGTTTGCCTGGGTTCCTTGGACACAGTGTTCCAAGGATGGGGAAGGAAGAGGGCAGGAGCCACAGAGCTCCCCAGACACAGCCCCGAGTGCCCAGCCCGCCCACCTCCTCACACTCTGGTCAGGCTGCGAGACTCCAGGTTCTCCCTGCCCCGCCTGCGGTGAGCTGGAGAGCCCACGGCATGGGAAATGCCGTCACCGGGGAGGAGACAGAGCAGAGAACAAGGAGCTGAGGGTGGGGATTTGGCCTGGTCTCGGGGGCAGGCTGGGGAGCCGCCAGCAGGCCATGGGCACGATGGTGGGAGGGCAGAGATCAGAGCGCGAGACCCCGCTGCAGGCGCTGGGGGCCCATCCGGGCACTGTCAGAGGATTCAGAGCAGAGAGCCCGAATCTGAGGGGTGCAGATCCGGCAGCCCCAGGGGCCCTGAGGGGGCATGGCCTGGGCAGTGGATCTGAGCCCCAGGATTAGACCCAGAGTCTGTACCGGGCACCTCTTCTCCTTGGAGGCCGCCTCAGCCCTGCAGCTGCAGGGTCCTCGCCCGGCTCAGGGCCGGAGGAGTGGGCACCTGGGCTTCCTGCCCCACCTCACCCCCCAGAGCGAGGTCTGATGGGAAGGAAAGTGGAGAACGATGTGCAGCCCCTCCTGCCTCAGCCCTGGGCCCTGACCCCACAAAGATCCTGGTGTGGACGGGGAAGGGCCGCACTGCTGTGAAAGGAGCTGTGGGGGCTCCAGAAGGGGGCTCGCCCAGAGCACAGGGGGAGGACCCCAACGGCTGGAGCCTGGTTTCCAGCGCCCATAGGAAGGAGGCCTTCAAAGCCCCCCAATGCCACAGTGCCCTGGGTGCCCCATCTGCTCTGTGGAGGCAGTAAGAGCCTGTGGGATGGGCGGGGAGAGGGGAGCCCCCAGAAAGCACCCGGCACGGAGTGGCACAGACGGAAGAGCCGTCCCCGTCGACCCTGTGAGCAGTGGTACGGTGCTAGCCGGGCTGTCAGGAGCCATGGGGTCAAGGTCACAGGTGAGGAAAGGTCGCAACCAGGTGAGCATGGAGAGAAGAATCCGGAAAGAAGAAGGGGATACTGAGTATGGGGACTCCCTGAGGCTTAGACTGATGAAGCATGTGGGCCTAGGGCAGGGAGAGGTCAGCCCCCTGAGAGTCCCTCGTGCAAAAGAGAGCGAGGCTAGAGGGCGGCAGGCCAGCTGAGGTGTGCAGACGAGAGCCAGTGGTGTGCGCCAGGCACCTGGCAGGGAGGAGGAGGAGGGGAGGCAGCTGCTGTGCAGACGTGGGAGGGCAGGGTCAGCAGTGGAGCCGAGCTGTCTGCGGCAGTGGGTGGAAGAATGGTCGGGCTGGAGGCTGGAGGCTGGAGGCTGGAGACCAGCCCTCTGGTTTCTGCAGGGTGCTGAGGAAGTCAGACCCAGGCTGGGAGCTGGCACAGCTCCCATAGCCCGCCCTCCGGACCAGACTTAGGACCCAGCGGGCTCTGGGAGGGGACCAAACGGGAGCTCTTGCCACCGTCCTTCTCAGCTGCAGGACAAGTCCCACCCCCATTCCCACTCCCTCTAGGGTGCACCCAGTATCTGGTCAGCTCTTGGTAGTTCTTCCGGTACCAGGGGTAACAGAACACGGGCGGTCTTTGCTGGGCTCTCCTGCCACTCAGGGGGGAGAAGGAAAGGACCTGTGCCCACTGAGTATCTGGTATGTGCCAGGCTTTGTCCCTAACCTGCACAAGCTCCCTGGGCAGGTGCGTGCAGCATCCCCACTAGCTGTGCAAGCTTACCAGCCCTGCCTGCTGGCTCATGGGTAGACACAGGGAGGCCAGCCCCAAAGTCAGGGCTGCGATCCTGCTCTGTGGCTGTAGGGGGCGCTCTGGGGGCCGAGGCTCTAGGCTGTCCCTAGGCCATTGACCGTCTGTCCCCTTCACTCTTGCTCACCTCACCTGGCTTCCTCCCCTCCCTTCTCTCCTCCTGGAGAATGTGGTTGAAGGCCCTGAGGTCTGCCCGGGCCTCCCTCCCACAGCCCCACCCCTGCCCACACCCCCGCCTTCCTCCCTCCCACTCCCGCTCCTCCCTTCTCCCTGCCCAGGCCTGTCCTGCCCAAAGCCTCCTTTGTTCGCTTCTCCCACCCCCGTCTGCTCGCCTCTCGCTCTCCGGGGTCCCCCAGCCCTGGAGAGGCAGCGGCTTCCCTGGTGGCGCCTAGGCCTGGACTAGATCTTCAGGTGGGGCCCTACCTCCGCGCTTACCTTCCTGCCCTGCTCCCAGGGGCAGGGAGTTCCTCCCCGGGCCTGAGCCAGCCACATGGGCCGTCAGCTGTGACATTTGCCAAATGAGCCAGTTAATTGCCAAATTTGTACTTTCAGACAAATGGTAATTATCTGGATAAGAATCTGAAATGGGACAGATTTCCCCATTTCCACTCGGATGGCAGGCAGCATGGTATCATCCCTCAGTCAGCTTGATTGGCATCGGCTGTTCCTTCTACTCCCCAACGGCCTCGTGCCGGCCAGGGGCGAGTGGAGAGAGAGGGGCATCACCCTGGCACCCCAGACCAGCTCTGGGCCCTTGAGGATTTCAGATTCCCAGCCAGGCTCCTGGTAGGACCCCCAGGGGAGACATCCATGACCACAGACCCCAGCCCCTGACTGCCTGAATCGAAGCACCCAGGGCAAGGCCTGGGGATCTGCATTGTCTCAGTTCACAGGGGATTCAGGCCTGGGGACTGCTGTTTGGGACCTGGTGGGCTTGGTGGCCCCAAGGTGGCCCTTCCAGTCCTGCAGGGACACAAGTGGACCGCAGTGGAGAGGAACCCGGGCTCTGCTACCTCAGAGTACCGTAAGTCATACAAACCTCCTGGCAGCTTGAAGCCTGTTTCTCTGTCTATAAAACCTGTGCCGTAAGCGCCACCCCAGAGGGCTGCCATCAGGGGTGGCCGTGCCAGCACCCAGCCCTGCGCCTGGCCCTTGGGTGTGCTCCATAGGGACGAGCGGCCAGCTGCCCGTCAGCCGTCCCCTTCCTACCCTGCTTCCGGTCTCTGCATCTCGTTCCTTGTTTCCTATCAGCACCCAAGCAGGTCTCCCCACCTCCCTTCTCAGGTGCTCCCCAACCTTTAGCCTGGCTCCTCTTCCCGAATCCCCATCACTGTTGGCCGCTGGCAAGCTTCCTGCCCAGACCAGCACAGCTCAGAAACTCGAGAGCCAGGACCTGCCCTGCCCAGCAGCCCGGCGGCCCAGCCCTCCTGAGGCTTTGGGCAACAAGAGGAGAAACACAGCGTGGGAAGAGGAATGAGCTGAGCCGAGTGGTGGGGTGCAGAGGGGGCTGAGCCCCCCGCAGCAACACTCAACGTCTGTGTCCTTGGCATGCGCTTCACCGTGCGGCATGGCATGTCACCCCAGTGCCCAGGGCCGCCCGGCACACACAGCTGTCCACATCCCAGCCTGCAGCAGCAGAGGGCTGTGAGGTGGAGAAAGGGATGCTGGGGCCCGTTTTCAGCTCTCCACCTAACCCAGCCTGGGAAACGCCCAGCGACAGAGAAGCATGTGTTCGGCACTGCTTGTGACACTGGGATAGAATGGGCCGCATCCCCACCTGGGGTCCTGCAGAGGAGGGGCCATCATGTAGCCTCAACAAGTGGCCTTTTCCCGGCACAGCCTCTGCCGTGAGCCAGCAGGTAGCGCTGAGGCCCAGGTGAGCCCCCGCAGTCACGGGTGTCACCTACGGTCTCAGACAACTAAACCCAGACAGGTCTACGTTACCTCACAGGGACCTTCACCCACAGGCCTGCGGAACAGGTTCTGCACAGGCTCCTTGCAACCAGCTGTGTGTGGGCTGATGTTTGGGTCTGCAGGAGATGCCTCCAGATGATGCCAGGATTGGCACGCTCCTTCACTGGGTCCATCGACCCCTGGCCCTGCTCAGAAAGTCCCCACGTCCGAGTCCCAGCAGAGCCAGGCCGAGACAAACAGCCATGCTCCAGCTCAGGCTCCTCGGCCCCGCTCTTCCTCACCTGAACCTGTGCTGGAGGTGCACACATGTGCACATGCACGCACACAGAGGCTGCCCCAAGCTCTCACCATTAAATGACTCCAGCGGATCAGGCACCCTTTCCTAAGGCACATGTATCAGAATCCCACCCTCTCAGTGCTGAGACCCTCTCAAACCTGGGACAAGGACGTGGGGGGGCTTCTCTCTTCCCCTGGGCCCACGCCTGCACCTGCAGGTGGGGGAGGAGACCCAGATGATTGCTGACCCTCCTGCGGGCCCAGCATTCTGTCCCCAGCAATTGGATGTTTACCTACAGCTGTTCTGCGTAACTGGGTGGGGGCGCCCCAGTCTTGTTTATGCGCCTGGGCTCTGCCTCCTGACCTACATCGTGAGCCCGCAAGGGCAAGGGCTCCTACAGCAGCCCCTGCATCAGAACATGAACTCTGAGTCTGGGGCCCAAGACCCTCCGGCCCCCCAGATCCACCTACTCGGGGCACCCAAGCTGTTCTGAAGCATTGATGGAGATCAAATCTGGGGCCAAATCCTGCACAGGAGAGCAACAAGAGTTCACCATGGGGCCTCCGCTGTGGAGCAATGGGTTAACACCCTGGCCTGAAGTGCCAGCATCCCATATGGGCGCTGGTTCGAGACCCGGCTGCTCCACTTCTGATCTGGCTCTCTGCTGTGGCCTGGGAAGGCAGTGGAAGATGGCCCACGTCTTTGGGTCCCTGCACCTGTGTGGGCAACCCGGAGGAAGTTCCTGGCTCCTGGCTTCAGATCAGCACAGCTCTAGCCATTGTGGCCAATTGGGGAATGAACAATCCGATGGAAGACCTCTCTCTCTCTCTCTCTCTCTCTCTCTGCCTCTCTTCTCTGTGTAACTCTTTCAAATAAATAGATAAAATTTAAAAAAAAAAAAAAAGAGTTCACCTTGCTTGCGGTGCAGGTGGACACCTGGAGCCTCAGCCCTCTGAGCACCTCTTTGCTCCCTCCACACCCTGGGGCCCTCAAAGTCATTTCCAAGAATTCTAGGGCTCCTGGGGAGGAATCTGAAAACCAACACCGCCCCGCCCCTTGGCTTCCTGTCCCGGGAAACTGAGCCTTAGAGAAGGGAAGAGCCGAACCCATCATCCGACAGCTACTTAGAGGCAAAACAAGAACTGGGACTTGGCCACGTCCCCAGACGCCCCATCTGAGCCTCTGCCAGGTCATGGCTGCAGGAGATGAAGATGGCCAGCCCTCGATGTGTCTGGACCCCCGAAGTGAGCTCCCTCAGAACGGGCACCAGGGCCCCTCCCCATCTGACTCCCAGGATAACGCTTAAAGCCAGGTTGAGGTCACAGAGCAGGGGAGCTGCGCCAAATGAGGCTCTGGAGAGGACCTGGGAGCCTGCTCCCATCTCTAACTCACGCCTCCTGCCCAGCAGCCGAGCGGGAGGTGCAGGGAGGGAGTCCCCAGCACACCCGTGGTCAGGAAGCTGGGCAGCGAGGGATCCCGGGCAGCCCCAGTGTGAGGGGCGCAGAAGCTCTGAGTGCCCTGCGCTGGCTGCCGGGAAGCTGTGCCCCTGGGGAGGCTGCCCCCGCAGGGAGATGTGGAGCCGTGAGGGCGAGTGGGCTGGCATCTGTGGGGCAGGGAGTGGCAGCCACTGCAGGGGCCCTTCGCCCAGAATGCCTGCCCCAGGTGTGCCGCATCCGCAAGCCCGCACTTGCTTCTGCTCCTGCCCACAGACGTATAGGCACAGTCACAGGCACGGGACTCGTGGAAGCATACTCACACGTCACACACACAAAGCCATGCAAAAATCCATGCACCTCCATTAACACCCACAGGCATACAACACACACACACACACAAGTCCACAGGGATAGGCACGTCCACGTGCGTCACACACACAAAGCACACAGGACCTGGCTGAGGGGAGGACAGAGGAGGCTGTGGGGAAATTCAGGCTGCCGCACTAACTGCGCAAGGTGCAGAGCCAGCCCCCCACCCCCCAATTCCCTCCTTCTAGCATCTTCCCTCACCCCAGGGGCCAGATCTGCTCAGATGGGAATTCTCTCTCCCTTAAAAAAAAAGGCAGGAGTGGAGGGAGAAGATGTACCCTGGGCAGGTGGAGCATGGGAGTGGATTCTGCACCGCGGGGTCTCGCTCTCTGGCCACACTCGAATTCATCCGACACCATGAGCAAGCCTCCAGGCTTTTCTGAACCTCTGTAGGCTCATCTGGGAAACACCCTGTCCCCTGAGGCCTCAGGGATTGGAGGTGGGGAGGCAGCACCCTTGGCCTCCATCCCCAGGGCGCAGAGTGGGAAGGGCACTGGAGGAAACCCCCGCGGCGGTGACCAGGGCCCCGTGGGTTACCTCCTTCTCAGCCTTGGCCTCCTCCACCGTCACGGTGCTGTGGTTCTTGTGCTCCTGGAACATGCAGAGGTAGCAGATGCAGGTCTGGTCGGTCTGGCAGAAGAGCTCCATGGTCTTGCCGTGCAGGGGGCACTTGCGGGCCTCGAAGTCCCGGATGGGCTCGAGCAGCTGGTGGTCGCGGAAGGCGGCACCCTCCAGGTGGGGCTTGAGGTGCAGCTCGCAGAAGGAGGCCTGGCACACCAGGCAGGACTTGACCGCCTTCTGCTTGTTGCCGATGCACGAGTCGCACAGCACCTCCTCGGAGCCCGCCTTGGACCGCAGCAGGAGGCCCGCGTCGGCCCGGGGGGAGCTGTTCCTGCGGCCCTCTCCCGGCTCCATGATGGACACGGCGGGCTTGCGGGCCTCCGAGAAGATGGACTTACGCAGCTCTCCCTTCTCGGCAAAGGTGACCGGTGGCTTCTTGGCGGCACCAAGCTGCAGGCCGGCGTAGGGTGACCGCCGGCCTTCGGCAGAGTCCATGCTGAAGTAGTTGGAGCCCTTGTCGTCCACGGAGTCCACAAACTGGATGATGGGCCTCCGCCACTCAGAGCTCGAGAACAGGGCGCTCTTTCCTTCCGCGGCCTTCAGGGCGCTGCCCAGGCCCTTGCCCTCGGCCGCCTCCCCGCTGTGGCCGTTGGTGGTCTTGGCGTCCTTGCCATCGGCCTTGGTGCCGTTCTCCAGGCCGCCACTGGGGCCCTGCGGGCTGCGGGAGTCCCTGGCTTCTGGGGTGGACCCGTTGCTCCTGGAGGCGTCTGCAGCTTCCATCCCGGGGCACTGGGCTGCGCTGTGTTGGGCTCTCTGGGCTGCAGGGGAGCTGACTTTGCTGGCGGGCGCCTGGGCAGGGAGTGGGGCAGGCAGCCACAGGACCGGGAGACACACCTGCGGGAGGAGGAGGGGGAGGAGGAGCAGGGCGGGGAGGAGCAGCAGCCAGCAGCCAGGCACAACGGGCCGGGTGGGGAGAAGCAGGCGGCTCCCACAGCCAGCAGAGCGGCTAATTACACAAGGGCCACGCCCCACACATTCATAACTAACCTGGATTTTTTTTTTTTAAGAAGTGGGATTTTTTTTCTCCCCAGCTTAATTATTTTCCCCAACTCAGCAACCTGTCGGTCTGCTTCCGTCTGAAGTGCGTGCTTGTCACCAGGGACGCGGGGAGCTGGGCAGGCTCGGTGGGGCCGGAGGCCCCTGGGGCACAGGGTAGGTGTCTGCAGCGGCCCACAGGACACTGGGCCACTAATTGGGTCACACAGGCCAAAGCAGCCTATTAATTTGTGGGCCTGGATTTCGGAGCAGAGATTCACCACCTGGAGACAGACAGTAGGATACTGCTCACCTTAAGGGAAGGAGTTGGTTAAGATTTTGGGAGCCTGCAGAAGATGAGCCTCTGGCCCAAGGGCTTCCCAGACAAAGTATCTGAGCCCCGAGGCAGCAGCTGGGATGCCCCTTTCTAATAGATGAGGAAGCCAAAGCTCTACTGCACTGGTCAAAGCCAAGTGCCAGGGCTGGCTTTGAACCCCAGACCCCTGAGATTCATCAAGAACCTTTCCTGGCCCTGCAACCCCAAGAGGAAGCTCAGAGACCTTGGGGGTTTCTGCCAGGGCAGGTCAGAACCTGCTTGGATCCCAAAGACAGAGACCCAGGAATGAAGGGGCTCCAAGCCCCGCCTGGCCATGTGGTTAGGTCCTCAGAGCCAAGCTCTCACCTGTCTCCATAGCAGGTTCACTACATGACTCAGGAAAACCCTGCCCACCCCTCTGGGCCAGGCCATGGGTGATGCCCTCCCAAAACAGGCCAGTGCGGTGTGGCATTCAGGTCGGCGCAGCACTGAGCCCTGTGGCTGTGACCCTCCAAATCAGACCTCTGGGAGGAAGGTGAGGAAGGCCTCACCAGCCACCCCTGCCCCCGCCCCCACCCCCTTAGCTCTTGCACATCCAGATGGGGACCCACTGCCAGGGTCCTGGCCAGCTGGCACCAAGTTCAGGGCTGCATCTCTCCCAGGCTGGGCTGGACAGGGCAGGGCAGACAGTGGGTGCGGCCGGAGAGGCAGGTTCTGAGCCGTGTGGAGGGGAGTGGGTTTCCCTCCTCCCCCTTGAATCTAGGTCAGGCTCTGCCCCCCCCCCCCGCCCGCCCACCCCTTCGCTCCAAAGGCTGAACAACTAATCCTTTGCAATAACAGCCCCTGGGAACACGGGCAGAGACGAGCCTGGCTCACAAAGCAGGCTGAGTTTTAAAAGGAGGTGTATGGGGTGGTGCTGGGGTGGGGAGTGCCGGCTTCTCAGCAGAGACACCCTCCCAACTGAGGTCTCTGCACGCAGCCCCATCGCAACCCCTCTCCTCTCCTCTAAACTCACTGCTGAGTTTCCCAAGCGCTCAAGGGGATTCCTGCGGTGGGAAACCCCCTCTCTAAGAAGTCAGGGGTCTGGAGGGGGAGGAGGAGAGAGAAGCGTTGTCCCGGTGTGCCAGGTGGACATGCCCCTCCCTGCACCCCTGCAAGAACAGGCTATGAGCAGAAGAGTCCAGAGAAGCAGCCAGCAAAGGAAAACCGGAGAGTTCTGGACCCAGATGCGACTGAGCCCAGAGCTGCACGGGGAGGCTTCTGCCAGCCCGCAGAGTTCATGCACCTGCCCTCTGGAAACTGGAAGCAAGATTTTGAGCCTCAAGAATCTGTTAACACAGGGTAGCTTCTCAGAAGATGTTTCTGGGCGGGATGATGAACACACGGAAGAAATAAAAGAGGGGAGGTAGGCAGGAAGGAGAGAGGGCAGCGAAGAAAAAAACAGGAAGAAAGAAGGAGACTCGCAGGTAGGTAGGTGAACGAGTGGATTGCAATGGTGTCCTAACAGAAGCCTAGCAACTGGCCCTTACAGGGGGAAAGCTCCGTTTTTGCAGGGTTCACCAGGGGTCAGTGTCAAGCTGCCAACCTGAGGCGGGCTGGGAAGGGACTCGGCCAGCTGGCTGGCCTGGGCCAGTGGGAGCCTGCTCCAGCACACGCCGGAGGACTGATGGGTGGGGACTGCAGAGAAGTGGATTGTGGGAGGGAGGAAGGGTGGGAAGGGGGGTGCTGGAGAGCACAAAGCCGATGGCCTGTCACAGGGACGTCCCTCTCCGGAGGCTTGCCCTCGGACCCCAGCCCGCGGGACTGTTTGCTCCTCCCCACTCCTCTGACTCCCTGCCTGGCCTGCTCAGTGCTGTCACATTCACACCTGTCTGGTGTGTGTCCTACCGTGGGACGACTGACCACACAGAGGGCTGAGAGCACCTGCCGCATCCGGGGACTCACAGCGTGGCGGGGAGGCAGGAAGTGAATCATCTGAATTTGGCATGAGCCGCTGGAGGAGAGAAAAGTGTGTAGGAGGCTTGAACTGCCCAGGGCCAGGGGCGCCCTGCATGGGCTGAATGCAGGCTGGCTCCCCTCCCAGGCTGAGTGCCCAGAGGGTCCTCCCCAGCCAGGCAGGGGTGGCCTTGCTTCTGTTGAGTTCTTGGTCTGCAGACGCTGGGTGACAGCCTTTTGGTCTCTGCGGGTCGGGCCACAGGCTCCTGTCCTGTGGGAGCCTCTCCCGCCAAAAGCCTGGGGGAGGCAGAGTCCCCTGGAAAAGCCTAGGAACAGGGCCTGCAGAGAGCTCAGAGGAAGCGGGTGTCCTTTCCTGGCTGCCTGGAGCCCCACCAGCCCCCTAGAGGCAAGGATTTGGGGGTACACCAAGCATTCAGAGCAGCCCCCCAGGCCCACCACCCCGGCACTGCCATTTGTGTTCCCCAAAGGGCCCGACCCCACTCAGCCCTCACTCAGCCCTGAACCCAAGAGGCACAGCTTCCACAAATGGGCATTTCCATGCAAAGTGGCCGGGTGTCCCCAGAGGCCGTCACACCCACCCCTGAGGCTGAGAGAGGCAGACGGGCATCTATATTCCTAAAAACCTGGAAACAAAGAAGAGGGAGCTGTCCCCATCTCCTGTCCTCCCTGTGGTCTAGCTGAAAGTGTTCCTGCTGCCACGGTTCTCTCTCTGCTCCGCGAACGTGGGATTTGACAGGCTGCCAGCCTCTGCCTCAGTGAGAGGGGAGAAGGGCTGGCAGGTGTGGCTTCCAGGGAAGGCTCCCATCTCTCTCCAGGCTCTCTCCGACCAGCCAGCCCCCACCCAGACTCCGCCTCCCACGCCCACCTGAGCCAAGCCCAAGCATCCTCCCCGGCTTCTTTCACGAGGCATCTGGAAGCCATTCCCCTCCAGGCTGCCGGCCTTGATTCAGCGGGGTGGAGCGCCTCACCCACCCACTGTGGTGGCCCCATCACAGCGGATTCCGCCCCCAACCTCCTGCACATGAAAGAGGAAATCCCTTAACAGGAGAAAACTCCTCCGGCTTCCTCAGACTCCCAGGGCTGGGAGGGAGTGGCCAGCGGGTCCTTCCCTCTGCCGCTGGACAAGACTCTTTCTAGAAAGTCTTTTATCTGTGTTTTTAAAGGTCTCTGTGTCCTGTAAAAGACCGGTGAGGAGGACGATGTCACAGCCCGCTTCAGCCATTCTTTCCGGGACTGATGGCTGCAGGCAGTTCTTCCTTGAGTCTAACTTTAAATACTTAGAAATGACAGCTAACCACACTGTTGCGGGGAAGGTCCCAAGTCTCGGAGCCTGCCAAGGACAAGCTGAGAGGCAGTCTCAGGTGCGAGGAGCCGCCCGGCCTGGTTCTCCTGCTTACGTGGTTCTTGGGACTTCTTTGTCCTTCTGGGCGCCCCTAGCTACAGGCAGCAGCAGGAAGGCCGTGCTGGTCAGAACTTCGTAGCAATAATAAAATACCCGAGGTCTAACTCTCATTTCTGCTCTGCAACATGATGGCATTAATCCTGAAATCAGAGCACTTCCACTTCTAATCCAGCTCTCTGCCATGGCCTGGGAACGCAGTAGAAGATGGCTCAAGTGCTTGGACCCCTGCACCCACTTGGCAGACCCGAAAGCAGCTCCTGGCTCCTGGCTTCAGATCGGTGCAGCTCTGGCCATTGAGGCCATCTGGGGAGTGAACTAGTGGACGGAAGACCTCTCTCTCTCTCTCTCTCTCTGTATAACTCTTTCAAATAAATAAATCTTAAAAAAAAAAAAAAGAAAAGAAAAGAAAAAGAAGAACTCTCTGGATTGAGAGGTGCCAACCATTCCTGCCCTCAACACTCACTTCTTAAAAGTTCTTTAAAAACAACCCAGGAGTCAGCACTGTGGTGTAGCAGGTAAAGCCACTGCCTGCAATTCCAACATCCTATTTGGGTGCCTATTTGAGTCCCAGCTGCTCCACTTCCGATCCAGCTTCCTGCTGTGGTCTGGGAAAGCAGTGGAAGGTCACACAAGTCCTTGGGCCCCTGCACCCACATGGGAGACCCAGAGGAAGTTCCTGACTTCAGATCAGCCCAGCTTTGGCCATTGTGGCCATTTGGGGAGTGAACCAACAGATGGAAGCCCTCTCTCTCTCTCTCTCTCTCTCTCTCTCTCTTTCTCTGTCTTTCCCTTTCTCTATAACTCTCTCTCTCTCAGATAAATAAATGAATCTGAAAAAAAAAAAAAAAAACAGGACCCATTTCTGCCTGCCAGGAAGGTTTCAGGTTTCTGCCTAGGAGGGCAGTGGAAGGAAAAGGAGCAAACACTCACGTCATATCCCCCGTGGGACGGGCAGGTTCCAGCCCTGGGGCACACAGGAGGACAAGACACTGGCCCCACCGTCGAAGGCTCCTCGCCAGGACTCAAGCCACGAGCACTCTCTCCCGCTCCAAGGCTGCCCCTTTGCTCTTGGCCCTGTGAGCACCCTGGGTCCCAGCTGCAGCTCTTGGGGCAGCAAAGAGGACCAGGGCCTCCTCCCCTGGGGAAAAAAGGTTGGGGCTGGGGCTGGTGGTTCAACAGCTTCTCCACGGG